TAAATAATTAATTTCATATACAGGATGTTAATTTAATTGGTGAATATAAAGAAAAATGTTTAAATCTGAACATACTGGTGACTCTCATCTTAACTCACGAGGATTTTCGTTCCTGACTGACGCTAGTCTCTGGAGTTCGATCTCTGCGTGATTCGGCGATGCTGTTGGACCAGGGCAGAGATGGTAGTAGATCTTTTTCTATAGGACCCATTGAACTATTAGTGTAAGTAACACAATAGCGGCTGTAAGGAATTCGATATATAGTTGTGGTTCTTGATTTTCTTCCAGATTTCCTCATGTACGTCATCTTGAACGGCATTTTCTTCGGAAATTATGGAATTTAATTTATCCGTCTAAAGCGTTGATGCTTCTTGGGTCTGAGTATGTAGAACTTCAATCGAATGGAAGTCCCTTGGTTGTATAGTTGTCGAATTCGCTTGATACGAGCTTCGATTTGTTTTTAAAGCATTGGTGCTTCTTGGGTTTGAGTATGTAGAACTTCAAGCGGGCGGAAGTCCCTTGATTGTATATTTGTCGAATTCGCTTGATACGAGCTTCGATTTGTTTTTAAAGTATTGGTGCTTCTTGGGTTTGAGTATGTAGAACTTCAAGCGGGCGGAAGTCCCTTGATTGTATATTTGTCGAATTCGCTTGATACGAGCTTCGATTTGTTTTTAAAGTATTGGTGCTTCTTGGGTTTGAGTATGTAGAACTTCAAGCAAGCGGAAGTCCCTTGGTTGTATAGTTGTCGAATTCGCTTGATACGAGCTTCGATTTGTTTTTAAAGCATTGGTGCTTCTTGGGTTTGAGTATGTAGAACTTCAAGCGGGCAGAAGTCCCTTGGATGTATAGTTGTCGAATTCGCTTGATACGAGCTTCGATTTGTTATTAAAGCATTGGTGCTTCTTGGATTTTAGTATGGAGAACTGCAATCGAACGTTGAATGTTTCTTGGGTTTGAGTATTAAAAACTTCAATGGAACGGAAGTACCTTGGTTGTATAGTAGTCGGATTCGCTTGACAGGAGCTTCGATTTGGTTTTAAAGCGTTGCTTCTTGGATTTTGGTTGGATTTGTTCGAAATTGTGTTATTAAGGCTGGCAGGATTTAATTTTTTTGTTTTTCTTCATGTTGAAGTTTGCTTCTTCCATAGGTTTTTTCAAAAAAAAATTTTTAAACTTTTGGACCATGAATAGATTTCAAAGCTTAATTGTTGTGAAGATGAATTTTTTGTAATTACTGCCATGAGATGGTTTTTATTAATCTTATTTCAAAGATATTTTTGTAAAGTATACTGCCACATGTTGTTAGTCAGTCTCTTTATTTTTCGTTGCATTCACATTTATATTATCACAGAATAAACAATATACAATAACAATTTATATTATTTAAATGTACATTAGAAAAATATTTTTATTCCAATTTCAGTCTCTCTAGTTCAATGTTTTGAAAATAATTTTAAAATAAGTCAGCATTATTATAATTTACACATCGAACTAGATACGAAATTGGAACGTGTTTATTATTAATTGCATATGAAATTAAACATTTTAATTCAATAAGTAATTAATTTCATATACAGGATGTTAATTTAATTGGTGAATATAAAGAAAAATGTTCAAATCTGAACACCGAAAGCGAATACATTAAATTATGAAAAAATGGTAAAATGGAAATATATCAGACAAAGGAACATGTTTTTGAAGACAAAGGTAATAATATCGCAAATGTCAGCCACCACAAATTTGATTTAAAACCATAAAAACTGCTATTACTGATCCACAAGATATGTCCAAAAATAATATTAAAATTAATTGCGAAGTATGTGCAAAATCAAAAATTAAACGAACAAATTTAAAAGAACTATTTTAATCTAAATGGGCCATTCGTGACTAGATCTACGGGTGGTAAACTTTATTATATTACGTTTATTAAAGAATATTCCAGAAACGATGAAGTAGCATTTCTTCAAAATAAAACTGATGCTAACACTGCTATCAGAGAATATATCTCCAAAATAAAACTGCAAACTGGAAAAGGATAAAGGTTTTTAAATAATAAATAATAAAATTTGAGTTTGTATTAAGTGTAGTTAATATTATCAACATCATAATGTTTTCAAGAACTACAAATATTATTAAATTAATATTTTAGTTAGTGCAAATGTTTGTTTTTAATACATTGAAAACCATCTACAAACATTATAAGTTAGTAAACTGATTTTTTTTTTCATAATTTTCTAGTTTTGTTGTAAGTTTAATTATTTTCACAATATATCACAGATGTCAAATAAAAAATATATTTTTTAAATACCTTTTATTGGCAAATAAAATAATAACAAATTTTTTTTAAATGTTTATTTTATAAGATCAGTCCCATCACAATACATACTATTACACAGATACAAACTAGAATAAAGATATATAATGCCGGGCATTCTAAATGATACTCTTTGCAGTTTAACAGACCCCACTAACTACCCTTTTTTTACCAGATTGCTCAAAATTTCAAGTTTTTCAGTTAGGATTTTTTTTTTAATATTTTAACATCCCTTAACTCCCCAATATATTCATTCATCAATTCATCAATATGCTTTATCTACTCATAAAGCTTTATTTTTACTTAAAATTTCATGTTGATTTCGCTATTTGTTTTTAATTTAGGATTTTTTTTTAATTTCAACACATCTTAACCACCTATTTTTAATCAGATTAGTTAAAAATCAATAGGCTTTGTCCCCTTATAGAGCTTGATTTTTGCTTAAAATTTTTAAGTTGATATCATTTCTCGTTTTTGAATTATCATGCAGACACAAATCGCGACATTGGACAGACGGACAAAGTAAACCTATAATACTATTCACAGAATACTGTATAAAGAGTGGAACAAAAATAAGTATACTAAAAGTTTAAAATAGCAGCACATAATTGAACATTTACAGCAATCTGTGAACTAAAATTGTAAGATACACATCTTAAAATGTTATCACACTTAATTCTCTATATGATCCTTTCTAAATGTATTTCACAGCACATTCCAAAGTATTCTTGCTCTCGCTACTGTCCTATCCTCATGGCAGACTTTTGTATGTACATGTTTACTAATAAATAATGTGTTTTAATAAATAATAGAATAATAGCAATTTTGTCTAAATAGGTAAATCTGCTTTATTTATCTGTATTTTCAAATTATTGTTTAATTGTAGATAGTATTAATGTTTTGATATGTACTTATAGGATTGATTACCAAGAGCATTAAATATGTGGGATGTGACTTGTTAAGTGCCTAATCAAAATCAAAATTTATATTTAATACTTATTGCTCTTTTCGAGACATACTTTATTACCAACTGTAAACTAATTTACCAACAGCCTGTTTTTTATTTAATACCTGCAAGTCAAATTACCAATACATCCAATATGTTTGAAAATACTAAATTATACAAACAAGACAATAAAAAATGTAATTAAAATAAGAGATTTCAGGGTAACACGTTTGATAATTACTATATATAACATAGATAAATAACATATATAAACTATTTAAATGTACATACCATTTTTAGGTAAAATTTCTCTTAAGTATATTAAATTAACTGGTTGGCACATTTTTCCGATTCAAACTTTTAAAGTGAAAAACCATTTGCCTCTTTAAGTTTATCAAACGTTTATTGTACATTTCCATTTCCATAATGATGTCAAGTAAAGACCTTATCAGAATAATCATTTTTTTTTCTTTTAGCGGGTTTTGTTGAAAACAAAAAAATTACAAATTTTTTGCTTACTTCTTACTTCAGAGTATTTATAGTTGTTTACAAAATAGAGCATTTTGAGGTAGTCTTAGAATTAGACACTGAAACAAAATATAAAACAAATTAGATTCGTAAAACTTTATTATAGTTAAATAAAACAACAACTTTAAAAATAATTTTATTTACCTTGCCTTTAAGAAGTTTTTCTGGAACGGTCGTTGAATTGACACAAACTTTCAATTTATTAATGTCACAGTTCTTAATTAAACACATTTTTTTAAATAAGCACAAAAAATAATCATAATAGAGGAATGACGGAAAATAAAATGACAGTTTGTTTGATTTGGTACAGTGTTGCCAGAATATAATTTTGGTATGTACCAGATTTGTCTAACAAATGTACCAGATTCCTTATATGTATCAGATTTTTCGAATTCTATTTGCAGTTACATATAATTCATTGAAAGGGAAAAATGGGGTCTTTATTGATAACGAACCCAAACAAGGAATACAAAATATATATATTTCACAGACATATTATGCAGCAAATGTTATGTCACACTTTAGTGTAGATTCATAATAATGTAGTTTACCATCTATTTAAATATATATGAAGGGGACAGTATACAAATATCTTATTTACAAAAGAACAATATAACCTAAATTATATGTTTACAGCGATGCATCACACGCAAGTTTACATACTGATAGCCGCTCTTATAATGGTTATATTGGTCTATATGGCCAAATGGTGGTTAGATATCTAAAAAGCTGAACAGCTTCGCAGTTTCTACAACAGAAGCTAAGTATATGGCTATCACTATCGTATAGGCAAGCCAAAACATTTCAATAAGTTAGCTATCCGAATAAGTGAAAATCCTGTACAATATCAGAGAAGTAAGCACATAGATGTGCAGTGACATTTTGTTGGAGATAAAGTCCTCGAAAATAGTGTCAAGTACATAATTAAAAAAAAAAAAAAATATAGTATATAGCAGACCAATTAACTAAACCTATATGTAAAGCTACCTTTAATTATTTAACTGAAAAATGTATGGAGTATATCATGAGGGTGAATGTTGGAATTTCATGAAAAATTCAAGTTTTATTTTTGTCACTCTGTATTTTTATATATTTTTATTTTACATTGTAATGTCGTTTTGATAGTTTTTGTGTAATTTGTCAAATATATTTTTACGTGACAAATTTTTCGAAATATTTATTCAATTATATCCTCTTATTTATTTGTAGGTACTATTAGTGAAGGCGAAACTGTTAAACAAGTCATAAAAAATAAAAAACCCTTTATGAATTTAAATGAAATAGTTGCTCATTCTTTCACTTTTTTTTTGGCTGGCTTTGAAACTTCCTCCACAACTATGTCTTTTGCAATAGTTGAACTTGGACTAAATCAAGACATCCAAGATAAGTTAAGAGAAGAAATTTTGGATGTTCTGTCAAAAAATAATAGAGAATTAACCTATAAATCAGTAAACGAAATGACATATTTAGAACAAGTACTTCAAGGTAAGTTATTATGCAAAGTGATCCATTAGTGGAAAAAAGTCAAATATCCTCGACATTATTAGAGATAGACAAAATATATTCTCAGAATGGTAGACAGCGTTAAACTGGTACACCTTTTTAAATAACGTTCTTATACCGGGTGTTCAAATTAAAGTGTACAGTTAAATACCGCCAAAAATATGCATTTTAGAAAAAAAAGTTACAGACAAAAGTTTTATAGTTTTTTTGGGGAAACATTTTGGCTAAATTCATTTTTATATAGCTCACCATAATATGGCCATATCGAGGTGAACTTTGTTTTTTTAAATGGGAATCCCATTTTTTTCTTACATATTCTTAAAGTACATCAAAAAATAAGAAACTTTTGAGGAAAATATTTTTTTTATTGGACTTTTACTTTTTGAGTAACAGCTACTTGAAAATGTTGCTGCGCGAAAAAAAAGTTGGCCATATTATGGTTAACTATAAAAAACGATTTAAGCCAAAAGTTTTTCCCTACAAAACTATAAAACTTTCGTCTGAAACGTTTTTTTTTATAAAAAGCGGTATATAGCTGTAACGCTTTAATTTAGAACACCCGGTATAACTTATTACTTTAATCTTATAAAATATACAGGGTGGTTTTTTAATATTGCGAAAAAAATTCAGAGGCGTGTCCCTTGGACGAAATGAAGCAAAAAAGTTCCTATGAACATATGTCCTGCGCCTCTTAGATTTTGAACTACAGAGTGGTATAGTTATAAGAAAAAAACTTATTTTTTTCGAATTTAAAAGTTTAAATTGTGTATCGGAAAATGGCTTTGGATGCATAGAAACTGCGAACCAATTTTCAGAAAAATATTTACAGGGGTATTAAATATATCGAAAAAAAATAGGTTTTTTCTTATAACTTTACCACCCTGTAGTTCAAAATCTAAGAGGCGTAGGACATATGTTTATAGAAACTTTTATGTTTCATTTCGTCAAAGGGATCTGATTTTTTTCGCAATATTAAAAAAAACACCCTGTATAATCTTATAAAATATGAACAAGATTATGAGCTGAATCGACAGTGTAAAAAATTTCCTTTGTTTTTTTTTAGAAACTTTAAGGAAGTATCCTCCAATTCCAATTATTCCTAGAATTTGTACTAAAACTTACCATGTACCTGGTGAAGATTTAACAATTGAAAAAGGTACCCATGTACAAGTAGCCGTCGGAGCTGTACATTATGATCCAGAAATATATCCCAATCCAGAAAAATTCGACCCTGATAGATGGAGCCCTGAAAATAGTAGTAAAAGATCGAACTTTAATTTTCTGACATTTGGAGAAGGACCTAGACTTTGTATAGGTACGTTTTAATACAAAACTTGTGTGCAAATATAACAAGTGCGGGAAATAACCATAATGCAAACCCAATGCTGCATTTAATTAAATAAAACAAAAATGTCACTAGGTCAATTCGCACTATGAGGAACATTAACGTCACGTATTGGTATGGTAACGTCACGCCAATTTTTCTTATTCACACTATACGGAACGTCAATGTTACGTCACCATCGCGATTTGTTCTATACAAAAATTTAAAAAAGAAGAAGTAATGATTTTAATAATTTTGATGAGAAAGAAATGAAACAAGCTAAAAAACCGAACATTATGTAGCAGCAGCAGCAATCTCCCCACCTAAACCTCCTCAAATTCACTCGCAAGTAAAATTTTAAAATTAAAATTTTTGTTTTTTTATTGTCCCAACACAAAAAACTTTTATTCAAAGAATTTTCTTCTTAAATAACAAGTAACAGAAATATACACCAAAAAGAAGTACACTATCAGTTGATCCGACTATGCCCAAAATCAAATAATCTCTTCGGGGGCCCATGAAAACTCCATTTTTTAAATCCTATCAAAGGCCAAAACATTTGGATCTATCGTGCAAAAAACGTCACCCACATAAATGTTCAAATTATTATAGAATAATGAAGTATATTTTTATAAATATCTAAGAACGTCTTAAAAATAAATTTGTCAATTTTTTAATAGAACCAAAGATAACATTAAACAAAATAACACTTTTCGTGAAGCAATTAGTGCAAAGAATAATTTTTTTTTTAATAAAAGATACAGGGTGGGCCAACGAAAACTTTATACCACGATTTTTCGGCTTTAAAATGAAAATCGGGAAAAAAGCTCGAACTCGTTAATGTTTAATTCGAGATGGAACAACTTGTAGCAATCAATCTGACCCTTAGCAGTAGAAAATGGCCCGTCGTATCTGGTGTATCACGCATGACAATCAGGAGAATCCTTAAACGACATAAGTTTCATCCTTTTAACATTCGATTGGTTTAAAAAATGTATGAGGATGATTTCGATCGCCGACTCCAGTTCTGTGAAGTGGTCAGTGAATATATCAACAATAATCAAAAGTTCGATATATGTTTTTTAGGTAAGTGTTCATTTTACCTTAGCGGCATTGTAAATAGACATAACTGTCGGTATTGGTCAGATAAAAGTATTTCATGAAGTATATAGTCAGCATCCCCAATAACTAAATGTTTGGGCCGGTATTTATGAAAATCACTTAATCGGTCCCTTTTTTATATCCGGTAATATACACATACACACACACACACACACACACACACGCGCGCACACACACGCGCACACACACGCACACACACACACGCACACACACGCACGCACGCACAAACACACACACACACAATGGGTAAGCAGCGACACAAACCGTTACGCCAATTTGACGTTTACCTATGTATGTGAATGTTACCATCAGAAACCCATTTAATAATATTTTGAAGTGATAGTACCGTTCCGTTACGTGACTCTGTTATTCCGTATAGTGCGAATTGACCATATGGTGTAAAATGTGCTGTCTCACTTTGAGTTTTAAGGCGCTTGGCATTTGTGAATTATTCGTTATATACAACTTTTAAATTTTCTGCTGGTCAACCAGTCTTCGCTCGTATAGTTTTCAATATATAGTTGAACCATAGAAATAAATATAAAAGACCAATATACATATAACACTTAAGCAGAAATTAAAACCTACTGTGCATAAAAACGCGTCTTTGCGCCTGACATCGCAAAATAGTGTACCTAGAAGCATGCGCAGTAAGCATGACTTGTCCCTGTAGTGTTGCCAAGTATATTAAACATACCTAACATAAAAGAATTGCAAATTAATATATTTTTAAATATTATGATTTAAACAGCTTATATCTACGAAATAACGCCACAAAATAACTTACTAACATTTAAATCATCAACTAATATTATTTATATGTGATTACTTTCCCAAAAATATATACAAATACGGTTTTAATATTTAACAAGCGATTCGCCTACAAATTTAATATTGATTTGGCAATACCACTTAAATCCGGTGTTTCAAAGCTATATGAACCTCTCTTAAGCTAGCAGGACCAACTGGGCAGAATCGATTAAAATCTATTACATTATTTAGTACCTATTTTGTACTAATTTGTACCACCAATAAAAATTTTATACAATGTGCCGTTTTCAAAAAAAAAAAAAAAAAATTGTGGCGCTGCTAGGTTAATATTAAGCTAGCAGGACCACATTACAAAAATAAAATAAAAAAATAAAACACACGTAGAATTAAAAAGAACTAAATTTGAACCAATTTGTACCACCAATAAATTTTTCGTACTATGTACCGTTTACAAAAAAACACAAGGTGCTTCTAGTTCAATATTACTAGCAGGACCACATTGAAAAATACAAAGGTACAATTAAAAAGGACTGATTTTGTACCAATATGTACCATTACAAAAACCTAATTTATTTAATCAAACTGACTGAAACAACTTTCAAATTAATCCAAATCTGTTATAATTAAAAATAAAGAAACTTTTCACAAAAAAAGAATCTATTGCTATTTTTGCATAAAACACAACATAATTTGTACCGTTAAAATATAAATTTTCAGAATATGCACCCCTGCCGTTCCTTAGAAACTATCCTAAATTCATATTCCTTTTAAACAGCAAAATCGATCGTTACTTCTGGAATAAAAGTACGTTAAAATGTAAATTGTTAGATTCTGTACCCTTGCCGTTCCTATAGAAACTAATCTAAACTCATATTAGGCTCAAGAGTAAAGTACCCTTTTGCAAGAGCAGAATCAATAGTTACTCTTGCAATAAAAGTAACATAATGTGTACCACTAAAATATGAAATTTCATATTTTGTACCCCTGCCGTTTTTATAGAAACTAACCTAAATTCATATTAGGCTCAAGAGTAAAGTACCCTTTTGCACGAGCAGAATCAATAATTACTTTTGCAATAAAAGTAACATAATTTGTACCACTAAAATATGAAATTTCAGATTTTGTACTCCTGCCGTTCCTATAGAAACTAACCTAAACTCATATTAGGCTCAGGAGTAAAGTACCCTTTTGCACAAGCAGAATCAATAGTTACTTTTGCAATGAAAGTAACATAACTTGTACCACTAAAATATAAAATTTCAGATTTTGTACCTCTGCCGTTCCTATAGAAACTAACCTAAACTCGTATTAGGCTCAAAAGTAAAGTACCCTTTTGCACGAGCAGAATCAATATTTACTCCTGTAATAAAAGTAACATAATGTGTACCACTAAAATATAAAATTTCAGATTTTGTACCCCTGCGTTCCTATAGAAACTAACCTAAACTCATATTAGGCTCAGGAGTAAAGTACCCTTTTGAACGAGCAGAATCAATAGTTACTTTTGCAATGAAAGAAATATCATTTGTACCACTAACATATGAAATTTCAGATTTTGTACCCCTGCCGTTCCTATAGAAACTAACCTTAATTCATATTAGGCTCAAAAGTAGAGTACCCTTTTGCACGAGTAGAAGAGTTTAGGTTATTTTCTATAGGAACGGCAGGGGTACACAATCTGAAATTTCATATTTTATAGGTACAAATTATGTTACTTTCATTGCAGGAGTAACTATTGACTCTGCTCGTGCAAAAGGGTACTTTACTTTGAGCCTAATATGAGTTTAGATTAGTTTCTATGGGAACAACAGGGGTACAAAATCTGAAATTTTATATTTTAGTGGTACAAATTATGTTACTTTCATTGCAAAAGTAACTATTGATTCTGCTCGTGCAAAAGGGTACTTTACTTTTAAGCCTAATATGAGTTTAGGTTAGTTTCTATAGGAACGGCAGGGGTACAAAATCTGAAATTTCATATTTAAGTGGTACAAATTATATTACTTTTATTGCAGGAGTAACTATTGATTCTGCTCGTTCAAAAGGGTACTTTACTCTTGAGCCTAATATGAGTTTAGGTTAGTTTCTATAGGAACGGCAAGGGTATAGAATCTAACAATTCACATTTTAACGTACTGTTATTGCAGAAGTAACGATTGATTTTGCTGTTTAAAAGGAATATGAATTTAGGATAATTTCTAAGGAACGGCAGGGGTGCATATTCTAAAAATCTGATGTGTCCAACACATGACTTTCCTATCTAGTTATTACAGGCTTTTTCCGGTTATTTTGTACAACCTATTGCAGCATCTCTATAAATGTTTAGAGGATAAACTAAACATATACATTGTCCACATACATCTACCGCGAAACGTTTTTCTATAGATATTCATTGAAAATGAAAATACTGAAAAATTTAAATTTAGCACTTTTCCTACAATTTTTCCATTACGGTCCATTTTAAAAAAATCATGTATGAACAAATATTATAGAGATCGATATCGCAAACAACTTTTATTTCAACAATTTTCATAAAAATCAGAATTTTGCACATTTTGTCAAATTTTTCGAATACGGACCATTTCAGGAAATTTTTACTTAAAGCAAAAATTATAGATAATAATATTAGAAGTAACTTTTATTTGAACAATTTTTTTCTCCAAACATAAATAACAGATATATTCCATAAAATATAAAAACGGCCTCCCATAAAGTACCCCCCCAGATGTTCCGACTTTGTCCAAAATCTAATCATTTCACGTCAGGCCGAAATAAAACTTAAGTTTAAAATTTAATGTTTTTTTCTTTATCCGTTTTTGAGTTTTCTTCAAATTTCGAAATTTACACATTTTCTCAAATATCTCGAATACGGTCCATTTTAGAGAAATTATCTATGGAATAAAAATTATAGAGAATTATATTACAAACAACTTTTGTTTATACAATTTTTATAAAAAAAAATATTTTTTTACATTTTGTCAAATTTCGCGAATACGGACCATTTTAGGAAAATTTTGTACATAACAAAAATTATAGATAATAAAATAAGAAGTAACTTTCATTTGAAAAATTTTCTTCCCCAAACGTAAATAACAGATATATTACATAAAATATAAAAATGACCATTCATAAAGTACCCCCCC